ATATATATACACCAGCCAATTAGTCTTGGCGAGCAAATTTAGCTGTGAAAAATACACTTTAAACCTTTTGGTGCATTCCTCATAGATATGAAAAGATCCAGGAAAGTCCAGCAGGCACATTCTCATGTGATAATTATCAAAGTTCATAAGATGGTATGTATTATCGCATACCCTTAAAGTGCCATGAGCCTGAAGTTTCTCCATAAGTCGTAACATAATATGTATGATTTCCAATAGATCTGCAAGATCACTGAATGTAAAAAAGGATTAGTTTGCACGGTACTACTAATATTGCAATGTATTAGTAGTATAATTTGTTGTAAGCATGTTATTATGGATTATATTTAAAATATAATCCAAGCATAATTTTTGTTTTGAATTTCATCCTCATAATCTCTATAAATACAAAAACAGAAGAAAGCCATTTTTGGCAGCCCTTGCATTGGCCGTGAAATTTTCTAGTGGTAAAAAGGTAAAAGAGTCGCCCAATGAACAAGAAAAAAAATAATAATAAGAAAAAAAACAAAAAACAGTCAGCTCCCTTGTTTCTTATATTGGCAAACTATTTCACTGTGGAGCAAGCTTCATCATTCCAATGAAACCATAATAGTGTTAGGAACAAGTGTGTGGGTGTCAACCAAGACAAAAAACAGACGGTCTGACAGTTGAAATCAAATCTTTATTATTTTATTTCTATCACTACCAATTTGATATACAAATATTAATCAAAGAACATAACAAAAGCAATTAAATCAGTAAGTAAAAGTTTTTATCTTTCTAGATGTTCTCATCTCTTGTACACATTTGATCTTCTTATATTCATCTTAATTAAAAACTTAAAACCCAAATAAAAAACAGCATTATGAGTTATCTAAAGATAAACTCATGAATAATCATATTTCTAAACTATAGTAACCCAAAGAAAAGAAATCAATATGTATCATAGTTTTTCATATCTTTATAAGAAATCTTGAAATATGTTAATCTTTCCTATTTATATAAGAAAACTTTGAATATACTAATGCATGTATCCATGAGGAACATCTCATAGAGTGTGAATGAAAATAATCTAATTTTCTATGTGTTTAATTGAACTTTACTTTTACTTTATACTCTTTACATACATATTTATCTCTTCAAGAATCACCGTTAAAAATAATCTAACACACCCTTGGCTGATATTATTTCATCGGCACAGTAGTTAGCGATTTAAACATAATAATTGTTTGAAGTCAAAAAGGCCCTTACGTGCCCTTGACATATCTTCTCTCGTCGGCACAACGATAAATGGTCTAAACAACACAATTATCTGAGGAGGCAAGCTTTGTAAACTCACTCCTAGCAGATATTCTCTCATTCGCAAAACAGCTAATATTTTAAACATCAAAATTATCTAGGCAGTAAAAAAATTACGTGCGATGCTAAACCGGCGTTCTCCGACAAGTCCCATTAAGGGGTGAACTTATCTTAACATACATATACAAACATTCATAGATAAACTATTGCATTCTTCGAAACATAATTCTTTTCGGACATCTTCATTCATCTACTAACATGCATACTAACTCTATTGTGCAACCATTTATTATACATCTCTCATATCATGATTTATATCTCTTATTTCATGCATATCTCTTATATAATATATATTTTTATATTATGCACACCATTTTCTATCAAATATGAAGAATCTATAGTAATATAAATATAACTGAACCAAAACATGCATATAATCAATATACAATTTGAAATAAATTACTGAAAGTTAGAAACATTATTACTCATCAAAGTTGCTACACTAGATTTTAATCTTTCGCAACTAACTGGGCGTCACGACAACTTTTATATTAATCTTAACAACCTATAAAACATAATATTAACCTTAAAATTCAATAAGTTTCCATTAACCGAACTATTCTTCCTAAGTTAGCACAGAATTATTTTACCTAAAATTGACGGAGCAGTTGTACAATTAATTCCCACAAGTTCCCCTCGAGTACGTTGCCTCTAGCAAACAAACTGAAATTTGTAATTTTATTAAGATTTCATAATATCTTGACCCATAAAGTGATTTAACTCAAAGCATAGCTTTCTTACCTCAAATGTGCTTCTCGATATAACCAACCCTCATCAAAACTGCCTATTATTCCTCCATCTTCTTATTTGGCTTACCCATCCCTTCAAACCCTTACGGAAGTTCACAAGCCAATTTCGACGCTTTCAACGCAATCTCATCTTCGTTGTGGCAACTGAAGACGAATAAGATGCACGATTCGTGATAACATTAAAATAAAAATGTTATAAAGGAAAGGAATGTCTCGAATAGCTTGAATGAGGGTTCCATACTCACCGATTTCGTCCTCAAAGTCAAAACAGAGAGTTGCGAGTCTAAGTCGATTGTTCGCCTGCTTCAAAACGCGGCTCTACCAATTTGTAGGTCACACAAAAGCCTGCCAGAGGAGAAGAAAAATCTGGAGAGAACTTCATGCAGACGAAACCAAGAGGGATTCGAAGACTCTGGAGTAAGGATTCCCCATTTGATCAAAATCAACGCTACACATCACAAGCGAGTCAATTGGGAACAACAAGTCGGAGCCCACGATTAAGAAAAGAAAATTAACATTTAATTTAAATTAATTAAACATATAATTTCATAATTTTATATCTTAAAACCCATTCAAAATTTATACATAATACTTTATAAATAATTGATCGATATGACGCATAGAACTATATAAAATTGATTCGGTTGAAATTTGAGAGAAGCAAAATTTGGAGTATATTTTAAAGTTGACAAATTTTTTACCTGATTTCTCAAAATTGATTATTACAATCAGTTTCTGAGGCAAGCCTAATTGAGGAAGAAATTATCTTGTTATTGTGAAGAAAAAATAGAAGTTAAATTGTATCCTCCAATTCTCATGTTACACGGAACTTCGGTTGATTCATAAGAAACAAAAACAGCAAGAGAAATTTGCATGTATATCATACAAATCTTATGTATTTACATATCTCACTCATAAACTTCTATAATTATTTACATAGCACTTTGGTGCTTCTACCCCGTGGAAAACTGAGAAGTTTCTGCTCCTTTCCAAGGTGGGACGAACAGTCGCTTCAAAAAGAAATGAAAGATTTGATTGGGGACAACTTTGGAAACCTCTTGATTAGGTTTTATTTCCTTCCTATTTTATGTTTCTTTATATTGATATTTCAGAATTATTCCATTTCCTAATTTAGATTAGACATATTTAGTAAGTTTGTACATTAAGAGGGATTTATTTGCCTATTTATATGCAACCTGCATGTGAATAATAATAAAATTAAGTAGTTTTCCTCCCAAACTTTGTTTTTAACATTGTATTAGAGTTGTTCCTCCCTCATCCATCATAGTCGCTATTCATCTTGGGGGTTGGGAAGTACTCAACGCTCTGATCCTCATAGCCTTCAACAATATCGTCAATTTCTACATTTGACATTTAAGTCTTCATCGATGTCTCCACACCTCAATGCTTCTCGTCGCTTCTGCTCACAAGTCCATCTAGTCTCAAGCAGACAAGCACCACTCATACGCAGACAATTCTCTCGATCAAACTATGTTTGCCCAAGCTGCGGTCGTCTCCTACATTCAAATGGATTGTGCATACCAGTCATTTGCCTCGTTCAATCACTAAAGCTGAGCGAATTAGTCATTTGGTTCTCCTCCTCGTCATCCCATCCACTAAAGCCAAACTGAGTCACTCCAACCGCCTAAGCCTCTCCAACGGTCATCAGTGCACCAAAATTCTCCATGTAGAATCTCATTTGTTCAATTTCTGCAACAAGAATCGTCCTAGCAACAGACCCTCCTCCATTGAATTCTCCTTTCATGCACCTTCGATGAAATTCTTTTGTCCTACAGCAACAACATAACCAGCATCAGCAAAATCTCTAAATTAGCATAGGGTTTATGACCAAATACAGGATAAAGATGTCAAGTTCTACTCTAAATGTTAATTCTGAATCAAAAAACAGAAATTATGTTCAAACGACTTCTGAACTTTCTAACTTTATCATAAATCATAACTCAATGGTCATAACTTACTTCAATAGTCCCAATTCGAGTTTATGTGGTAAGGAAAGAGAAACATCTCACAGGAAAGAGCATAGTTTCTAATACCACTCTAACCACCGCACATGGAGGATTCAATACCATATGACTAAGTCTTGGCTAGTCAACTCAATGGCCACTAAAGTGGGAGAAAATTTTTTACCATACAAAACTGTCAAAGAAATCTAGAAGGATACAAGAGAAACATATTCTAGTACGGAGAATATTACAGAATTATTTAAGATCGAAACCAAAACTTCATGACTTGGAAATTAAAGTGTCGCATAATACTTCAACAACTTGACAAAGCATTTGTTGCAATTGAATATGTTTGAGAAACGTGTGAATATGTCCACATGATGTCAAGATATTTAAATCAATCATCGAGAAAAAGAGAACTATCAAATTTCTAGTCAAAATAACTCAAAAAATGGATAAAGTGAGAGGGAGGATAATGGGAATAAAACCTCTTCCATCTACTCGTGTGAAGCATTTGCTAAAATCAAGACAAAATAGAGCAGAAAAAAACTAATATTGATTGAAAATGACAGTTCCTCAGCCCTATACCCCCATAATTCTTCTCATGACTAAAGCTCAAGAAGAATCGTCCCACATGTAACTATTGCAAGAAGATTGGGTAGCTCAAAGCCAAATGTCGAAAGTTTCATGGAAGCATGTGGATTACAAACCTAGACAAGAAAAAAGATCAAGAGAAAAAAGCTAATGTTGCTACCACATATGAATGGTAGGCTTAATCATTTGTCAAGGAACAGCTCGAAGTACTGAAAAAACACTTTAGGGGTAATTCAGAACAACGCACCAATCTCATGGCACACCAAGATAATGTATCATTATCTCATCTTACCAATAATGAGAGATTTAAATTTTGGATCATAGATTCGGGAGAGGAGACTCTAATCATATGACTGAATACAGCAATGCTCTAGTCAACTGATACTCCAATTGATCCCAACAAAAAGTCTAGCAGAGGAGAAGGTAGTATACATGTGGATAAAAGAAAATATCAAAGATTAGCAGCAAAACTCATCTACCTATCACATACTAGGCCAGATATTTGATGCTCTATTAGAATTGTGAGCCAACACATGAATAACACGAATAAAAAGCATTTGGAGATGTGCAGGATTCTAAGTGTTCTCAAGAGGACTTCAAGTTATGGATTATTTTTTTAGAAAATCAAAAAAAGAGATGTAAAAGTCTACACTAATATTACTTGAGCTGGGGAACTCACTGACAAAAAGTCAATCACAAGTTACAACTCTTGTGCACGGGGAAATATAGTTACATGAAGAAGTAAGAATGAAACTGTTATTTCTTAAAACAGTGTAGAATTAGAGTATAGAGCACTTGCATTGAGAATCTGTGAAGAGATATGGATCCATAAATTATTGGAGGAACTGAGATGCACCTTGAATAGGCCTATACAAATGTTTTGTGACAGTCAAACAGCCATTAATATTGTCAAGGATCATGTGCATCATGATAGAACCAAATACATAGAAAAAAACAGACGTTATCTCTAAAAGGATAAATAGTGGAATTCATAACTAAGCTACATCCCGACATACCAACAAGTTATTGATAACTTCACCAAAGCTCTTCATTTAAGCATCTTCTCAAAATTCAAAACAAAGCTTGGTCTCTACAACATCTAAAACTTAATTCGAGGGGTGTGAAAAATTGAGAAGTTTTAGCTCCTTTCAATGGTAAGTTGAATGGCCACTTCAAAAATAATGGAAGATTTGATTGGGGACAGCTTTGGCAACCTCCTGATTGATTTTATTCCCTTCCTACTTTATGTTTCTTTTTTATTTCAGAATTATTTCCTTTCCTAATTTACATTAGATAAATTTGGTAAGTTTGTAAATTATGAGATATTAGTTTCCCTATTTACCTGACATGTGAATAGTGAAGATTAAATAGTTTTTCGTCCAAAGTTTGTTTTTCAACAAAATCTATACATGAAAAGATGTATCTCATTTCGAAAAAAATGGAAATAGTGCTATATTTTATGTGATTAATAATTTGAGTACTATGTGTGTATGTATGAAAGTTCAGGTGTGAGAAATGTAAATGCATAAGAATTGTGTGCCGTGTATGTAAATACCCCAAAGAACAAATGCTAAATCCGAATAAAAAGGTGGGAGAAAAAAACTCTTATAAATATTAGCAATAAAAGCAAGAACAGAAATAAATATAAAGCCAAAAAGCTAAACTAAAGTACAGTTTCCCTGACGGTAACAAATAGGCCTGCAGGACATGAAACAGAAGAGACTGCTATTAGGAGCATATAATACTACAAAAAAATCTAACTTATGAAATCATATATCATAAATAGTAAGATAATGCTAATGATAATTATGAAATCAACTACTTTTAATTAAAAGATGAAAGTTCAAGTAGAAATCCCATCTGGAAGCACTGAAGGAGAGAATCTAAAAATAGCAAAGGATTACAAATCCATATTTAAAGTTAAGATGTCTAGAAACAAACCTTCTAGGTTGTTTATGAGAATCAAAACATTTGAAACGGTTCATAAGGAACTGTGTAAGCCCCTCATCAGTCTGATCATAGAATAATTTATACAACAGCACACGAGCTGTTTGACACTCCTTCGAATCTACAGGCAGCAATTTCATCACCAAATCTAGCACACGAACCTGCATAACTAGAAGCAGTTAAGAGAAAAACGAATTTAAGATCAAAATATTACAATAACAAAAACTTTTAATAATTATTTCTGTACCTCTACAACAAAAAAGGAGGATTTACATACACAGCACACAATTCCAATGTATTTACATATCTCACAGCTAAAATTTCATATTTACATAGTTAGCACTCAAATCTTTAATATTACATCAAAAATAACACTACTAACACTTCTTAAAAGTGAAATATACACGAGATGTGGGTGCTTTAGTGTGTGCTATCAAAAAGCGGAAGAAGGAAGAAGGACAAGGAGTAGTGTGTTTTGTTACCCGAAGAAGCAACGCAACACTATAAACGAGGAAAGAAAAGAATCGCAAGAATTCGACATCAAGCTATGACATCTGAACTATGCAAAGACAGAAGGGGATCGCGAGCGGCTCATGGCATTAGGTGCAAATGAAGAAGACAAGGTTGAACCGAAGCAGCGTGCGGGTTCGATCGAAGGAGTGCTCGTGCGTGGAGGCAGCGTTGAGCTTGGAAAGGTTAACGTGAGAGCTCAAAGGAAGAAGAAGTTGTGAGTATCTTTGCAGCTCGTAAAGGAAGGAGGCCATTACGTGGGGCTAGCAGAAAGGAAGGAGGAAAAGTGTGAAGTCTTCCTTGCTCAACCGAAAGCTTGGAGACAAAGAGAGGTATCGTGGGATCCTCCTGCGTGCGCAAGGAAGACATGTGTAGGCTGTTGCACATCATGCGCCCCTTGCGCTTGAATGACAGTAACAGCTTGTTTGATCTGATGAGATGGCAAGGCACAATAGAGAGCTCACGTAAGGTAGAATGTTGAACTTGTTGTTGGGGCACACCTAGAGCTGGACACTCCACCACGAGATTGCCAACCGTTGCATCAATGAGAGGTTCTAAAGTAAGTGAAGTATAACAAGTCTCCTATGCCACCACCGATAGAGCTTCTATAGGAGGAAACAGAGGGCCTGCATCTTGAGCATTACGTGGAGGTTGATTAGTTGAAAGATTGCCCACGGGGCTAGTAGAACCTACAGCAACGTCGGACCATGGACTAGATAGTGTGGTTACCACAGTGAGTGGGATCAGAGATGTCCTTGTGATGAACAAGAGGATTAGGGCTAAGCACTTTTTTTTAGATGGGGTTGTAGGTGGTGACATTGCAAATTAGAGTGACCGAACATACGACAGTAAGAGCAATACATAAAGAAAGACTCAATAACTACTTTTTGTCAATATCCTTGATGTTGTGAGTCTAACCAAATTTCTCTCTGGAGTGATTAATATGATGTCAGTTTCAACAAGCACCCCGACTTCTGAAGGATGTGAAAAGTTAAAAGTATGAATGTCAGTTTTGAATAGCTTACCATAGACTGAAGCAATAGAGTACAACACTTCTTAAGCGAAAAAAATGAAATTTGAAACCTGGGAGGCAAATCCAAACCGATATGGTTGGTTGTTCCGTCTGTGGGTCAAAATCCACAGTTCATTTCAAAATTTTCATTGCTTTGTTACCAATCCAAACTAGTCTTCTAACAAATAAGCGTGTGTAATCCTCTCCATTTTTAAGTTGAACAAGGATATTTCGCCCATCTAAGAGTCCAATTTCACACTCCCAAAAAGATGGATAAACTCAAATTACTTACGAATCAGCTCCATTTTATGATGGTCATTAAGGAATTTTCCTACCAAATTCAGACTACATGAGGAAGCAAGCTGTAACATTCAGCTTAAGTAAAGAAAATTGATGGTTTCTCATTTTTCCTACCAGCTTTCTTGAGACAGACCTCATCGCTCTCCAGCAGCACAAAAGAATGCGGGGAAAAACACAATTTAGGAGTACCTGAGGCGTGAACACCTACGAGGGCAGCAGCTTAAATTCTGTCTGAAGCCATCACCAAGTGAAGTAGGCTAGGCATTATGAACAATTAAGAGTGCAGTTAAGGAGAGAGCAAACGTCGAATAGCAGAGGAGATCCCATCTCGGAGCGCAGACGAAGAAAGGGAATAGGTGATTCAGACGCCGGAAATCATTTTTCAACGAGCGGATGAAGTCGATGAGACATGAACCCTTCTTCGAGCACAATGAAGGACGAAACAGGAAGAAACAAACGAAGCATGACGAAGGACGATAAAGGACGAAGCTGACGATGTCGAGGTGCAAACAACCAGTAAAGAAAATTTTAGCATTTAAAAAATAAAAAAACTAATAGTTTATTTAAAATAATATATTAATGGAATTTAATATCATATTTTAGGCTTTTGATTTTAAAAGAATTGACGTCAAGGCAAATAGCAAATTAGTCAGTATCAATGTGAATACTTCTATTCTTAAATTACAGCATCATTTTGATATCTCTTCTAAACTAGTTTTAAGGGTTGTTAATTATGTTTGACTAATACAATTAATTATTCTCTTACTAAATTTTATCCATCATTTCAATGTCAATGCTTATAATCTTATCATATGAAATAATCAAAATACAATATAGTGAGTGATAAGAAATTATTAAGGATATGATTTGCATGGATTATTTATATGTACATAACTAACTATGATATGTCACTCATTGATGGTACTAGTAAAGGAACATTAATGTAACTGTGCACGTAAATTAGAAAGAATATTGATATTGAAGTGCCTAATTGGTAAAAATTTTTAGACGTTGTTCATATGACGGTTGTATAGATATTAAATGATATTGATATAGTCTATATATGAAAAGCATGTTAAATGTTTATATTGATTTATAAAGAATTTTAACTGGCATTAATATTTTTTCCTTGTATTAATGTATTTTAAACGTATGAGAATATACTAACTTGTTTAGTTTGTTATTATTTTAAACTAACTTTTCAGGTTAATTAAGAGATTAAAAGATCAACGATATAAGAGAAAACATTTATAAAAGACGCGGACAACCAATAACAAGTTAAATTTAAAAATATTACTTTAATCGATTAGTGACTCTTTCATTTGTAAAATATAAATTATATAAAATGAATATCAAAAATTTAATTATCCGCCTTTGTTAATCCCAAACACCGGGTCTGATTGTGACACTCAAGCTCATGGAAGTAACAAAGTTTGGATAAGTTTTAGCAAACTAATTTCATTAAAAATCACGGTATGAAATAGTCATCAAGAGAAATGCTTATTTCATGCAATCAATTTAAATAAATTCAGCAAAGTGCTTCATCACAGCAGATTGATTAAAAATATGAGTTATATCAGTGTTGAGTGCTAGAGGCTTCTAGGAATATGTAGAATTGGATGAAAATTTTCAACTCAGAGCTTCCCAAAATACATAGTTTGAGAGATAAGTTTACATGGAAAGCTCAGCCGCAATTATTCACCATTTCAAAAGACAGAGAGAGAGAGAGAAAGCGAGAGACAAAGATGGTCCATCTTTGAGCAATTCTAGAGAATTTAATACAAGATCCATTTTAAAAAATAAAAAAAGGCAATGCCAAGGACACCAAGTTTTATAGTTTTGTATCAAATGTTAAGTATTGTAGAACCATGTAAACAGATTCTTAAATAATTTGCAAAGCAAAGCCTTTGGTAACATCAACATAGACCATCATGCATTGCTTGTTCAGGTCTTGAAAGCCATTTAGTCTTCAGATGACAAAGGGCAGCATGATTGTTGTGATCATATATAGCGCATTCATTGACATTGCCCAAGCTAGATGATCAGATAGCAGCAATGTGCATCAACCATTCTTTCGATGGTTATAAAATTTGGCATGCAACATTATTAAAGCAAATGTAAAAGTTCCACCACACACGACCACCAAGACGCAGATAATTGGTTGGTCATGAGAACGACGACTCTATGAACATGCCCTACCAATAACACAGAATTTTCGAAGCCAAAGTAAGACTAGGAATACATGCCAACAACTTTGAAATCAAACCTACAACATTGTAAATGATTTAGAGCTCACAATTTGGAGGCCTGGCTAAAGAACAGAATTCCCGCATTATGAATACTCTAGGGATATGCAACACCTACAAATACAATGGTCTGTCGAATGATGCTAACATCTTAAGGTTTTTCCATTTCTCAGAACAAGCCAAAAGTCAGGAGAATTTTATCCCTAACGACTCTACAACAAGCTGGGACGATTTGGTACAAAAATTCCTATCATAATATTTTAACCAGTCAATTCAGAAAGGATGTAGATTGAGATCACCAACTTCATGCAAATTGAGGGGAAGACCTTATAGAATATGTGGAAAAGATAATTTTGATAGTGCAAATGCTTTGTCAACGTTGTTCAATGAGGGCTTTCGGCGAGATGGGATGCTAGTTTTAATTACGAATCAAACTGTGCACTAGATAGTACGTGAAACTCTATAAGTTAAAATCCGCCTAAAATTATCTTCTTAAACAAATAACTAACCTAGGCCTGCAAGATCTCCTTAGACAATGCAATCTATTATTGCTGATAATAATCATTCAGTCAACTTATATCGACTATCTCATATAACTAAATAAATCAAATTCATGACAACTAATGATGACAAAAGTTGATCATGTTCATTACCATTTCCCACAAAACTCGCTTTAAGTTAATGATGGTAATTTTTTAATCTAACATCAAAAGTTTTTGTACTATACGCTAAATATGTCGCACTTATCAACAAAACGTCATAAAAATTCTCTCATTATAAAGAAGTAACCAAGAACCATATCATAATATCCTCGAAAAATAAGGAAAATATCATAAGAGTGATTTTTTATCTAAGAATCCAATCTAAATTCTACAAAGTTGACCCACAACCACATAAATTTCTTGATAGAGCTAGTGCACAAATTTTCTAAGTATACAAGGAAATCAGTCAAAAGCAAGCTCATATTATGAAGACTGGATTAACAAAATGAATTATTTCACTATTTTAATTATATACTCTTTAAAATTTATTAAAATATGGATTAATAAGAGAAAGATTCATCATGCCGAATGATTCTAGTTATTTGTTTGCATTCCTTTAACAGCCTGTAATATAACTAAGCAATTCACTATGTTCAGATATCGCCTCTAAATAACCCTAAAGTTCACTTATCGAATGAAGAAAAGAAGTTCACTTCTTAGCAGACATAAATTTGCTTGAAAATAAAGTAATCCTATGCTTCCTCAAACTTCAAATCAATGGAACTACCGCTTTCCTCAATTAACAAAGTTTTTGACTTTCATAATAGTTTCATTCCATGGCCTTCTTAATTGCAATAGGTCATTCTCATCATAAAAGCTCAATAACAATATAATAAAAAACATGACCATTATTTTCACATAGATCGTAGGTCTAGTATTTCAAATTGTATTCATATAAACCTATATCAATGGTTATTGTCCATTCACATTTAGAAGCACTGAATTCATATAAAGTAATATATGATTCCATAATATAATAAATTCTGACACAAAAAGGTAAAGAATATTCAGATATAAATCATTCATTGTAGATCAAGAAGACTAACAATTACACTTAACAGGTTGGTACTTTTTATTTTTTGCAATGCAAAGCATTCGCTGAGTTCAAAATGCAGAAATCTTACCATGTTCTTCATAAGAGATCCAGCAGCAGTAAGAAACTTGTAATCATTAGTTATCTTCACACCATCAGAAGCCTCGCGCCATTTAGATATGACTAAAAAGAACATTGCTTCATTCATAGTTGCTGCAATTGGTCCACATAAGTCCTCATGCAATGAAAGGTAGTCCACAGATTGACTGTTGATAGAAAAATTTTCTTCCATATTCTCCATATTTTGCCTCTGCATAAAAAATTTTATCAGGAACTCAAGTTGTGATTCAAGCTCCCAAAAACAAAAAAGGTAGGCAGAATTATGTTTCATAAGTTTAATGACATGAAAGAAGAAAGCCTTAAAAAGAGATTGTTTGATCAGTGCATGGGCACATGCCCCATTAAAAGTTCCAAAATTCTATTCCTTATTTAATAAATAATTTTGCATGTGCCGCCTTAGATTTTGTGAGATACATTCATAAAAATTCATCATTAGCATGCCTCTTTCAAAAAATTTTCTAAATCCCCTTAAATGGTGTTTACGCCTCTGTTATTTCCATGCTTTGGCTAATAGTGTTGGAGGTCTAATGCTAAAAACATGTTCGCCAACTTTGTTTGGACATTATATTGGGTATGTACTCGCTTATGAAGAAGTTGAGTCCATACTCAATAAAATTAAAAGATCCATTGAGAGCTAATTTGAATCATGGATCCCGATTGCTCATGATAATTTGGGGTACTCGATATTTCTTGTATTCATAAACAAGACAAGAATTGCAATTCACAAGAGCGACAGAATATCAATCCTCCACAAACACCATAATGCGAAAGTTTCCCTAATGATTTTCCCACTTCAAATCACGGCACTTATAGTGTTGGATCTTTGCTTGTCCGTCTGTGAATTATGTTAGCACGGAGAACATGAGGATGAGAGATGAACAAAGAGGAAAGTTTAGAATGAAGGATAGAAAACTCCATAATCGAGCCCAAATAAATAGTAATATTAGGCCAAAGTATGTAACACTGCATAAACTTGGCTCTCCTGCATGACCCCCTATTTATAGCTAAGTATCTAGATTTTGAACGTTGCAAAATTGACTACAAAATATGATACACGCAAATAAATATAAAGTGAAACTACAAGAGCTGTATAACTTTTTTGAGGACTCGAACAGTAATAATTGAATTTTTAATATAACAGTAATAATAGTATTAAAAATCTAAGGAAATGAAATTTTGAAAGTGCATTAGTAACCATGAACGTGATTTTGCTTAAGAGGCGAGTGATTAGATCCAAAGAGCGAGAGTGGGAAAATGAAAGAGGTTTTATAGTGTGATTCTCATACCATAAATTTTGATGCTCTTGTAGAAAGTCAACGTCGAGCGCTTTGTGTATGCAAGAGAGGAGAGGCATGCAAGAGTCAAAACTGAAGTCCTAGCAAGCCTCGTTACTTCTTGTTTGAGAGACGATGGAAAAGGATGGAAGAGAAACGACTCTGCATGAAGGATCAAGCTAAGAAGAAGAGAGTCAAGCCTAACATGTGACGCGATATCGAGTTGAGCCCTAACTTAAGGAGGAGGTGGCAGCTTCGTGTGTTGCTACCCTGCGAAGCAGTGGAGGAAGAAAAGTTGCACCCTATTATAGGAGTTTAAGCCTGTGTGTGTCAATTAAGAGACTGAGCAAGGTATATGGTGAGATTAGGATTTAAGTTATCAAATCATACAAATTTAACTATTAAAATTTGTTGAATATGTTATGATATTAGTATTTAAATTTTATGAATTTAAAACAGATTTTGCAAGTGATTTTAAAACAGATTTTGCAAGTGATTTTTTTTTTTTTTAGGAAAGGGAGACGGCTTGTGCACATGCGGGTAAGTTTTAATTTCATTTTTAATTAATTTAAATAAATGTTATGAGTACTAATATTAGATTCTAGTAAATTACAGCAAGACCATTTAATCAAATAACTTTTACTTCATGAAATTGGGGGGTAAAAATTAATAATTTCATGTAATAAAAAGATAATAAATATTGGGGCTCTATTTTTAGTAAGTAAATAATTGGTAATGTAAATACATAATTGGTAATGTAAATACATATGTGAAGCATAAATTAATCAAGAATTGAAGACTGAAAAAATCTTAGGGTTCGAGGAAGAAGTGAATCAAGACATTCAAAGGGTAAGGTAAAGATTTATAAGTTGTAAATGTTAATTATATAAATTAGATTAAGTAAAGGCGATGTTAATTCATATCAACAATTTTATGAATTAATTATAGAAAATTTTAATTTATCAAGGAGTTGAATTAAGGATGATATATAGATTCGAAAAAATTTTATGCTATAGGAAATGAAGGGATGAGTATTTCATTGATCATTTGAGGCGAAAGTAAGTAATTATTTTCTTATATGTAATAAATAAATGATTATTTAAGAAAAAAAATTTATGTTTTTATATTTTGAGCTTGCGAATTTAAAAAAATTACAATGGAAAAAAAATGTTTTTTCAATATCTTTAAATGGAGTTGATTAAAGGAAATGAAATATAAATGATTAAATCAACCAAGACTACCCTCGTATGGTACTGGAAAAGGACTCGATATATTGTGTACGATAAAAAAATGGAAATGATAAAGATGTACATTCGTGTAAATTTTTTAACATGTCTGTGGTAAAATTTTGAAAATACATTCAGGTATGATGGTACTAATGATATGACTTCGTAAAAAGGTTAAAAAAGATAAATACTTAAAGTGAAATGAGGAGAGTTAAATTTAAAATGAAAACTTACACTTTAATTAAGTAATGAACATTTCTTTTCGTCATTCATGCATAATAAGATTGTAATTGCTTACTAAGTTGTAAAAACTTACAGTTGAATTTAATTGTTTCTTTTAAGAGAATAAAAACCGCAAATTGATGTATGTTATAATTTATAGGATGAGGACTACAGTTGATAGGTATCATGTTGTTATATGATTGTAGTTTTCTTTTTATATTATGGTTTGAGATGTTGATTGCAAACTATATTTTTATTTCTGAATATTTTGATTTCTATATAATGTATTTTGTGGTTTCTTAGTGCTCTTTCATTTATATTGAAAGTTTTGAAAATCTATGAAAAGTACATTAAATGTTAGTATCTTTTGACAGTAGTTCTTGACTTGGTAATTTCTAAGAAATCAAGATCGTGACACAGACTCGAAACACTATCAACAATTTGATGCAAGGAAGTCACAAGTTTCTATGTTGGAAATCATCCAACAAGTTTCTAAGCTTGGGCGGTTGTCTAGGGTCCAAAAAGATCAATGTTAACTATTGGTGAATAATCCTTGATTGAGTTCAGCTACTGAATCTATAAACGTCCTGGTGAATGAATCTTCATGAAATCAGCTAGCAAATTCTCCAACTAATTTGGCCTTCAACTCATTATGTTTAACTTTCTTGGATTAGCAAGTTATCCTAATACCCAATTAGATAATTTAAATTGATCGGCTGGCAAGATCGTATTAAACCGAGCTCAACAAATACTCCTTCGGAACGAGTTTCGCCATTAGTGTATTTTGAGTGTACATATAGAATCTACCTCTAAAACTTCTCATATTATGGCATGATCTCATTACGTTGAGTGATATGTCCTCACGCAAACATCTCTTATGCATATTTGAGAAAAGCATTTATTGCAATATCAAGTTGTAAACCCTCTCTGATTTCATCAATAAATACGCCTTGGTTTAACTTCAAATAAAATGTCTTTTTAAGGTTGCATTCAAGTTGGTCATTCAATTATAAAAGAAATTGTTTTCAACAAACCTATTTCAAATAAGTTTCTTTTTAGTGTAGAAGTAGCTCATTGATAAATTATCCTTCTCCATAACAAACTTTAATACAAGCACATATTCCAATATGTATGATGGCAATGCACCATTGCAAGCATTTCCTTCTCTTGCAATAGGTACAAGTGATTGGTGTGATTTATCTTTTGGCTCTCAAATCACACTTGGTGTCCCTCCTACACGAACAAAATGCTAGTAGCATAGTATGAGCTATTCCTTTGTACCTCATACAACTTTAAGTAGTCAACAAATGCGATAAGCATGAGTCACTTCATCATATTACATGCTTTTAAGAATAGTGCAATAATAATCGAGTAGTTCCTACATAATATCCGATAATAGTTAATTAGCTCAAAAAAAGTACAAATTAATCACATTGGTTGACGATTCTCGATCCAAGTTAAGTTGGACATTTGCACAGTTCATCCTCACTCCAGCTCCACCAACAATACGTATGAGAAAAGGACTTCCAACTACACAAACACGCACTTTCAGTCCTTCATGACAAGTTGCTCTTCCATTGCACCGAGAAAACATGCTTAGAATGATCAATGTCCTCCTTAAGCATCCAATTGTATGCCATATTGATAATGTAATAAATCATGAAAATCAAATCAAAGAATTGATAGAGTATCTTTTTCAAGAGAGTACAAAATAATATTTTGATGCATTGGTCAGGCCAAACATCATAACAAAGAATTCATGTGTTATAATGTTTTACACAGCTAATCATTTAATTCATCCCCTTGTGCTATATATGCTTAATAATATCATGAATATAAGTCCATCCTGGCCAGCCGTCAAGCACCATTGAGTTGATCAAACAGTTATACTATAGGTACGCATTCATCATCTTCAACATGTTAACGCTCAGTAGACATGTAGAAATGCAGGTATCAATTATGCTTCTTCAAGTAAAATAACTATGTCTAAATCCTTAACTTACTTTTCACAACTACTCCAACTCAAGATGTAAGATTCAATAAGATGATAGAGTTTAGTACATGCCTTGCGCTCAACCAAATGCTTCACCTCCATACAAGGCAACAACTTCTTAGGCAATTCAATAGCGTTACACGCATAAATGAGTGGTCTACATAGCATTTTGTACGTTGACTCTCAAGGTTACCAAGAAAGTCAATTCTTCCCTCAGTGCTTGATGCCAACAGCATTTTCTAACAACACTCAAATTCTCACTTCACCAAACTAAACATTAAACAATATGCATGGAAAAAGCATATCCAATATAAATAAATGCAATTAGTGTGTTGCTTATATGCATTGACCATGCTAAGGAAATTGCTACTAAAAATAAAGTTAATTCATTCAGTGGAGGTACCCGCACTTTTCTCTTCCACTAGCAAATAAGCGCATTTACATCTCATGATATGCAAATCATCATGAATTGTTTAAAATTTATTATCTTAAGCCACCTAACTCCCTTTCCCATGTAAAAATCCAACTTTGGAGCCTCCATAAACATGAAATGGTTAGATGCACCATTGTCGAATCATCCTTATACTTGAAATCTCCATGTTTATAAATACCAGCCCCTCAGATTTATTTGAGAGCATTCCTTGTGGCTCCAAAGACTAAGCCAGCCCACATTGCACACGAACTCATCAAGAAAAAGTACAATGCATAAACAAAATGTCATAAAAACTCAGTTCAACAAACCTTCGTTAAAATCTTTTTATGATGAAAAGCTGTAATAAAGCGGATGACTTGAAAATACGTAATAATGTCACTCTTCTGGATTTCTTGTTGTTCTTTTATAATATCATCCCGGATTGTCTGCATTAGAACTGATGAGAAAACCATCAGTATTAAACGCCAGTCAGCAAGGGCAGAAAAAGTTCAAGACAAATATAGGACACAATTCAAATATATTTACATATCTCACCCTTAAACTTTCATATTTACACACATAGCTCTCAAATCATTAATATCACATAAAAAATAGCATTACCATCACTTTTTAAAAGTTAAATGCACCTTTCAAGCATAGGTTTAAAGCACCAAAGTGCTATGTGTGTAAATATGTAAGTTTAGTTGTGAGATATATGAATTCATAAGATTTTTGTGCTAAGTAAATTTCCCTTAATTAAACACACCATTATAGCCACCATGTAAGAATTGATTTAAGAAATTGTGTAGTAGCCCGAGAATGTTTTCCTCTTGTAGAGACAAAACTCGATTTTCAGAGGCAACTTTTTTCATCGGGCCTCGTTGAACCTTACGAACTTTAGCTAAGCCATTTGTTGATGCCGAAGCGGGATCATTGAATAACATTTTTGAACCATCCTATAATTTATAAAAGTTATATCAACTTAAATTAGGGTTATGGGTATATGAAAGCCTTCGTGAGTCTAAATGCAACTTTAGGCAACTTCATACCATGGCTAACCGAGTAAATGTTCCACTGAACTGTTGATGGCATTCAGCATTCCTTTGTTTAATTAACTTTCTCTTTTCATCTTCTGCCTTTATTATTGATCTAAGAGAATCTGAAGTAGCACTACCTGCATTAGCCTAAATTAAAAGAATACAACAGTGAGTTAACAAGCTAAGCGGGTATAAAAAAATAAAGGGAAATTTACATACCATATGATTTTTATGTATTTACAAATCTAAACACCCAAAGTTTGATATTTACAGTTATAGCACTCTGGTGTTATGAACCTATGCATAACAAGTGTATTTCACATTTAAGAAGTTAGTAATAGCTGTATTTTTATGTGATGTTAAAGATTTAAGTGGTATGCATGAAAATATCAAAGTTTAGGTGTTAGATATGAAAATATATAAGAATTATGTGGCATGTGTGTAGGTGCTCCAATAAAAATAAATAAAAATAAAAAACAAGCTAAACAGACATGTTCGCAGCATCCAAAATGGCATATGCTTAACACGACAGCATAAAAGAAGCCAAAGACATAACAAGGTAACACGAGCAAGGCAAGAGTCTAAACATACTACTTTGCTAGTAAAGCAACCATGCTTAACAGATTTTTGTTCTTCTGTCCTTTGGATTACACTGCAGCTAAATGGTAAAGGGACAAGGCCTCCAACTAGAATTTTTTTTTTCAAATTAAATGCCTCATATGTATATATATATATATATGTATGTATGTATATAGTAAGCGTTAAAGTACTTGTTGCAATTTTATTGCTGCCAAAAAGAGAATCAAACCCAAAAAAACACAAAAAGGAAAAACGTTTTTCTTTTTTAAAAGCACATGTTACTTGAAGTTAAATATGATTTTCCTATTATATTGATATTATGAGCATGTTTATAAAACTCTCGCTTGTGAGTATATTTATATCATGTGGTTTATGATATATGATTTGCCTACAATAAAAGCTTGTTACAAGAATTATGATAAAAGAAAAGTGGTGTGATAGGTAGTTGTTTCATGAACGATTGTGAGTATAGATGATAAGAAACAATGGGCTAATGCTTAGGCAGAGACAGAAATGATGATTTTTAGTATCAAATAGGTTATTGATAATTGCTATGTTGGGAATATTTATTAATAGTTATTTTAGCCTACCGGTCAGATAACAACCAAATGACATAAAATGATACAAATGTAGTCAAAGTTTACAAAATTGCAATTAGCATTCTGAAAACTCAAGATGTTGATTATGGAATTCTTATGAATATTCAAATGATTGGACGGAAATGAATGAAATGTATGATGAACACCTTTGTTATTGTTTAGTGCATTTATGTCCTTCACCTTAAATGACTTGTGTGATTGAAGCGTGCTTATATTTATGTTCTCATATCATTTATATGATCAGCAAATAATCATACACATTATTTTTCTTAAGTTAATAAAATCTTAATTTAGCCCTGATTATTTCGCTAAGCTTGTAACTCAATATGTCCATAAGACAGTAATGATTTTACCGTAAGGTGATGTTTATGCCAAGGTACTCAAACTTCTCGACCTTAGTAAATTTCAGAAATCTCGCTATCTGGTTCTTTCTCCTACCCAAGGTGACCTTGCTGAAAAGAACAGCAAACTTCGCTTCATTGACTTTTTCCCTGTCTAATTGCAATAATCATTGAGGATGTCCATAATCAGCTTAGCTGTAGACATGGATGCTTCCAATAAAAGAACAATATCATCCGCATAGAGGAGATATTATACATAAAGTTTGCCTCATCTTGTAAGGTGATCAAATCATTTCATCAAGCACGCAATTTATTGCATCAACAAATTCCTGTCATGGTCAGAACCGCCTCAAGCTTGACAAACCAACTTCATCTCCTATGGGAGCCTATATAGACATTGTTGAGCATTGAACTAATGCATAAGAAGGAGCCCTTCAACTTAGTTAAATATTGTGCTCCATAATCTATAGATATCACCTTACAAGATGAGGCAAACTTCATTTAAATACTAAACATTTTATCTTCTATAGTTGGCTTCTTGCCTCTACTGTAACATGGACATGTCGGTCAACTTTTTGATAGATTTGAAAATATGGATATGAAAATAATTTTTTGAAATTTAATTTAATATAATAGATATATAATTTGAGTTTTAAAAGTTGTATGTTTTAATTTTTGAAAAATGAGACCAAATGGATCGCATTAGTCCGATAGTTTGCATAATTGTGTCTGATACCGCGAATACTACACCCTCCCGAAAGATAACTGTAGATCTCAGCGATATACCCAATCATGCAAACTAAGAGATTGGTGACATCCATTTGGTCTGCGAACATTTTATGTATGACAGACAAGTTTCCCTATCTAATACAAAAATTAAATAATATTATTTTATCTGGGTCCCAAGTTCCCTATAGAGGCAAGCCCCTATATTTAATTACATCTCAAATGATTGGGGTCACTTGAGAAAACACTCGATAATGATCAGTGGTTCTAGACTTCAAGATTTCAAGGTTTAGGTTTTCACGGTAAGACGTGGAAAAATAAGTGGGAGTGGCTCAAGTAGGAACAGTTCTTTCAGGAGTTCAATGGAAGTAAAGGGTAGGGGGCGTCACAGATCTTGAGAAAGAACCTCAGTGACTTCCCAAACTATTCTACTGTACAGCTACATTTTAGAGAAGATGTTATTTGAATGTTTAATCCTGCCAATTTTATTATTTAGGACTTACATTTGCATAATATATGATTATGCAAATAGCTCGTAGAGATAAGAGGGTTTACGTTGTAACGAACAACAACCTCAGAACCTAAAGCAAATCAGGACTTACACTGCACAATATTGTTGCACAGGTGCCTAAAGAGGGAATGTGAGGATTTACGCCGCGCTAGGCGAGCTACCTCAAAGTCCTACGGATTGTTATTATGCTAGGAAGGGATAATGCTGAAGAAGATCCTCTCGTTGCTCGGTCTGAATTCCTCGTCGTGCTGCCGTGCTGCCCACAAAGTTGGTTCCATCGTCGCGACGGCTCCAGGGTTTAAGTGCTTGAGATTAGTAGTTTACGCTTCACTTGAGATTAGTAGTTTACGCGTGCTTGAGATTAGTAGTTTACGCTTCACAATTTTGGTGTCAATGTTTGGTTTTGTTTTTGGTTTTAGTTCTGTTTAGTTCTGGTTTTGCATGCAGAGTAAGCAAATCACAGGTAAATAAAATGTAATTTGAAAAATAAAATGTTGTGAATAAACTGTAAAAGCATACCTGAGCATCTGCTACTGTTGTGTGATTAATATTACGAGTGTAGTATGACTTAAACATATTTGCAAAAAAAATAAATAAGACAATAAAACCCAAGATGAAAGTCATAAAATCAAGTAGTAGAAATCACAAGCAAAAGAAACACTTAGCCACATAAGAAAGATCAGGACTGGGTATGAGACATTGGTAAAAGTGGGGGCTCAGAGCTGGGCTGTGTAATTCCCGATCTTGGGTAAGAGTTGTCAACTCGACAAATCTACAGAAGGTAGTTCTTAACCTCAATCCAAATGACTAACCATGGACTTTTATAAATTTTCATAGAAAATTTATATGATTTTCATGAAAAAGCTGTTGTTTAAGTATTTTTTTTTATGCAGAGCTCTTTTTAACATGCAAAAGATTTTTTTTTATTTTTATTTTTTGTAAATATTTTGTAAAATTGTATGGTCCACAGGCTAGTCGCTCTAATCGTGCTAGAACTACTGACAACCTAAGAGTGTTGGGGAGCAACGATCCCACCAAGAATCGAAGAATAGTATCACGGATCTTTTTCTCTCCCTTATTGAAGATCCTTGAGATAGGAGATATTATTCTAACAATCTCACTTCGTATCCCTCGTTTAGGCACACATAAGCAATATCGTCATCGCCCTCGCCAGTTAAACCATAGACTTATCCTAGTCTGATGATCAATGTGTGACATTAGCAAATTATTCTAATTGCCAGAACGATTTAAGTGTAATATCCAAGCTCAAATCCCGGTGCACTGGGTTTTATTATAGGTTAAGTCATTATGAGAATTTCACTGTTGATTTAATTAAGGAAACATGGACTACGTCTCGGTGCGTCCTCATGTCTAGTGTCTTAATCAGTTTGTGAATCAGAGTTAAGTGTCAAGTTTCATTATTTGTTTGAAAATTAGGTGGATTTGAAAATTAGGTGGATGAAACGTTCACCTAAGGTGTGCTCCTAAAATCTAGGAAATCTATGCTGAGAATTAGGTGGATGGACTCTCACCTAGGGTGTGCTCCTAAAATCTAGGAAGTTTATGTTGAGGATTAGGTGGATGGACTCTCACATAGAGTGTGCTCCTGAAATCTGGGAAACATGCACTGAGGATTAGGTGGATTGGCTCTCACCTAGTGTGTGCTCCTAAAGTCTAGGAAGCCTAAACTGATGACTAGGTGGATGGAATCTCACCCATGGTGTGCATCTAAAGTCTAGGAAACCTAGACTGAGGATTAGGTGGATTGGCTCTCACCTAGGGTGTGCTCCTAAAGTCTAGGAAGCCTAAACCGATGACTAGGTGGATGGACTCTCACCCATGGTGTGCACCTAAAGTCTAGGAAGCCTACACTGAGGGCTGGGTTGATGGACTCTCACCTATGGTGTGCACCTAAAGTCTATGAAGCCTACACTGAGGGCTAGGTGATTTAAGGTTTTCTATATCTTCCAATTAATTAAATCATCGATCCTCATCTTTATGACTTAACCATTGGAAAGAAACAAAAAAAATATAAAAAAAGGATGATCCACCCCCAAAAACTAGCAACCAAAAAGGGGAAAGCAGAAAGTGAATTAGTCTTGAAAGCGCTTCAATTCTTTAAACAACTGTAATTAAATAAACTCTCGAGAAGAGTGCTCAAGTATGTTCCAAGACAGTGTTTTGATTGACCCAAAAGGTATTTAAAGCTTTCTTCAAAACAAGTATTATTGCAAGCCCAAATCAACACAGATTCATCACATGCTTGACCAAAAATTATACAATTGAAACCGGAATCTAAATTTATCTAATCCTACATGAAAGCAATCACAAGATCCTTTAAACTTTTAAATTGCCAAAAACATATAAAATGAATTTTTAATACTTGCAGGGTCATAACAACATTACAAATACAAATAACTACAACATATTGTTGTCAATTAGCATCCCCAGAAAATCTTCCCTTAATATTGTTTCAATCAATCCACAAGCATGTCATAAATTTAACTGCAACGGCTTAAGTTTCAAAAATATACATAACAACAATTAGGCAACTCGAAGAAAATCCTTCATGTTAAATATCAAAACTTAAAGAGAGCAATCAGCATTTCATAACATAGTTCGCCGTTAAACTTTGGCCAACAAAGAGAAGGAATCAAATCATTAACTCATTCCCAAAACAAAGAGGGAGACAGCATAAGTTGAATAAAAGAAAAGAAAGCTATCATAAATAGAAACACAACAACAGAAATAACAAGATATGGAGCCAAATTGGACATAAATAAAATCCACAGAAAATATAAGTTTGTGTTTGGGATTTTGCAAGAACTCACAGAGAAGAGAAGTGAACGGTCAGAGGATTGGGTTGGACAGGCGGAGCGTGCACAACTGACTTCCTGTTTCGATTATCCAAATCGTTTCCTGCAGGGTTGTCGGCTGAGAAAGGAAGGGGCTCCGGTTGGACCTCACCGAGCGAAGGAGAAAAAAAAAGGGAAGTGCGACTGAATCTCGAGTTTCGGGTTCGATCGAGAGGTGGGGAAGTTGGAAGCTTCGGTGCAGAAGGGAATGCGAGAGCTTTGGTGTAGAAGAGGGAATCGAGTCGAGCGAAAGCTTCGACGTAATGGAGAGGAGAAGGTGAGCGAAGGTGGGCGAGCACAAAGATGGAGATGGGCAGTGGTCGAGAGAGGGGGAAGTTGTCAAATGAGGAGCTCGGATTCATCGTGAGAGGAAGCTGGAGTCGAAGCAGGCGTGCGGGATGGACGCAGTGAGGAGGCGAGTGTTTCAATGCAGGGAGGAGATGAGCATGTGGGAAAGGAGGAGGCAGGGCGAACGAACGAAAAGAAGAATCGAGGAGGAGCAGCTTTGGTGTCGCAGAGGAGGAGCAGTTTCGAGCGAGGTCGAGCGGAGGAAGATGAGGAAGAGTCTGGAGGAAGAAGGGGAGCGAGCAGCAGATCTGCTTCGATCAGGAGCTTCGATCGAGTCGTAGAGAGGAGCGCGGGATCAAGCGAGGTCGAGCGAAGAGAGATGAGGAAGACGAGGCTAATGGAGATCAGCGGGATCGAGGGAGGCGAGGCTTTCCTGCATGACTGCGAACGAAGAAGAAGGCGCGAGGAAGAGGTGAACGGAGCTTCGATGCAGAGGAGAGACCGAATAAATCGGGTGGCAAGCGAGAGAGAGGAGTCCTCGGCGAGCAGGAGGAGAGGTTGAATAGGAAGAAGGCGAGCCCGAGCGGGATTTCTATCCCTCGAATTCCAAAATAACCGTTAAGCTTGTGTTGGGCGGTGAATTAATAATTTCCTTAGGCAGGGGAGTTTTATTTTGCATATAAGAGTTCCTAATTAAATTTCATTAAGACTGATTAAATGATTCATTTGAAATTTAACATTTGAAATCTGAAATCGTTTAGCCTGTGTTAAGCCCGAGTCCAGCCCGAATTGCACTTGAGTTGAGCTCCAACCCATGCCCCGTTAAATAAAAAATAGTGAATCGATTTCCGTGTCATTTGTGCTCGAGCGTAACCCTAGCAATATGGGTGTCCTTCCAAGCTAAAATTGATGTTTCGGACGCATCGGCGCAGTCTGTTTCGTCATTCGAGGTCGTTCAGACAAGTTCGTCGACGGTCGTGCCAAAAATGTGTCAAATTTGTGCGTGGTGTAACGAGTGCGTTGTTGAGTCACAGAGGGTTCACCTATGGCAGTCTGATTCTATGGGAATACATTTTCAGACCCTCTACATGTTAGTCCTTAGCCCTTGCAACTAAGAGTTGAGTGCTTGGGAATACTCATGCGAGTTTCTTCACAAAAATGAGTCAATAAGTGGTTTGAAGTTCTACGGGAGATGAGCTCCATTGCTAGTCTGCTATGATGGTCAACTTCTAAAGTTAGATCCTAGGCTCTAAGAGTAGGAGACTAAGACCTTATTAAAAATGAGGTCAACAGGACATAATCTACAAAATCAAACAACATGAAATCATAGCTCCTCTATGTTTCCCTGAATCACCATTAGCAATCAAGATTGTCTGCTTCCTCACTCATTACTGTCTTATGGGCATGAGATATCTCGAATCAAAGAATCTACCCTTATCACATTCCCTTCTTCCTTGGCCACCCATCAATCATGTAGGCCACAAAGCATCAATTCAATAGTGAACTAGTTTCTGCCAACCACATCTACCTCAAACTTCATTTGATTTAGGGTTCTTAAATAAGCCAATAAAATCCCTATTAGAGAAGATAAACCCCTATAGAAGGCTCAAATATTTTTAAAACATAAAGAGTCAGGTTAGAAGTAAAAAAGGGACTGGCCACTAAGTTTCAATAAAGTTATAAGTGTCAACATGACCATCACCGGTTTATCAGCTAAGAGACATATGTTGAAAAAGCCTACCTATGTTGCAAAAAATGTTAACCAATACCACTTACTTATAAAACTTGCCTATCCATCTAAGTATGTGAGTTGACAGTCTTTAAATGTACCATATTTTCTAATGTTTTAAAAAAAATCTAGCTCATGTGGAAATTTGAATAAAGTTACCAAATTTGCTACTTAAAAAAGGGGCATACATACATTACAGCAAATTCCTATATATTTACATATTTAACAGTTAAATTTTACTTTTTACATTTATATAACCCAAATCTTTCATATCCCATAAAAATACCATCATTTTAACTTTTAAAATGTGAAATATGCCTTTCATGCACGGATTAAGTGGCATGTACGTAAAAATTATAGTTTAGGTTTTGCATATGTAAATACATAAGAATTGAGTGGCATGTATGAAAAATATTCCAAAGAATAAACCAAGTTTTATGGCTAACCCAACTTTCTCTCCCATTGCAAATGTCGATTCTCCCGCTTTGTTTTGTTAAAATGTTTTCTTTCCCAAACTATTTGTCCACGCAAAGGGAATAACAAATAGAGCATAACAAGATGAAGAGCAAAACACCTTACCATCCTCACAGCTGTAAACAATTCAAAATAATTGTTGGGGCATTTAAATACATACCACCCAATTCCTATATATTTATATACCTTAACCTAAACTTTATTTTACATATTTATACCACCCAAATCTTTCATATCACATAAAAAATACAACCATTATAACTTCTAAAGTATGAAATACACATTTCATGCATAGGCAAGGTGGTGTATATGTAAAAATTTGCATTTGGGTGTAATATACGTAAATACATAATTATTTAATCATGTGTATGTAAATCTTTCATAATTGTTGTTTATGGTCGCTCAGACAAACCAATTCACACTCATTTGCAGTTAACAAACTCCTATGCAATCAAATGGACGAAAAAAGAGGCAAAATATGCCATCAAACGCAGAACAGAACAAAAGAACACACCTTGGACTTAATGGTGAAAGCTTTTGCAACCAATTCTGGTTCTCTTCCAAGCAGAATATAGTGAAAAATCTCAAGTAAAAGCAAATTGTCTTGACGAAGAAAACCATTAGGGTCATCAATATGCTGTGCCAAAACTAAAATAAGTTCCATCGTATTTTCCTGGAACATGATTTCCAAAAACCGATCTGTCAAATGGAAAAATTGTGTGGCGTGTCCTGATGCCTTCTGCTGTGCTGTAATGTCTTGGATGGCAAGAATGTTGCGAAACAATGTAAGCACAAGTTGAACTAACTTCCAATCATCCTCTGTAAATGTGCCGCTGCATTACATTCAAAAATCAAACTAGAACACTAGGTTCTTAAGAGTTCAGTTCAATAAATATAAGAAATAATGGAAGAAACAAATTGCTCTAAATCATAAAATAATCATCATTCTCCACAATTAATAGACTGTTTATTACGGAAAACATGTTGAAAAAAGAGCAGACATTTTATTAGATTGAAGAAAACAAGTGTTGTTTGGTTCACTGTACAATTGACTCTGGTAAATATCAATGATTTCAAAGATCTTATAACCATAGAGGACTGGAACGGAATTAAGGTTCTCATTATTTTATAGGGAGAGAAGTAAAAATTTGCAACGTTTGGGCAAGATTTAGCTTAAATCCTATCAAAAATAAAAATTAAAAAAAATTAAAAACTTGGAATTTGTATCATAATATTTTAAATTATTCCATTTTAGCGCTATTATTGGTTAAATCCAGGATGTGTTGCGTCCCTGCATTCAAAGAGTTTATCTTATTTGAGAGTTTCTCAACCTTATAAATCATAAATCCTGAAATGATTAGTCAACCAATTTATCGTAATTTAACAAGATTTAATAGTTCGTGTAAACAATTTTCTGGTTTTAATCCTCCCGTGATTTGCTAGACTTGCATTTATGGATTTAATAAATCCGACTTGATGGAAGGGATTGTGAGTAATCCTAAGATCTTCGAGATAAAGTTATTCCTACTCCACGACGAAAGTGAAAAAATAAGCGCAATAACGAAATTCAATTATTTAATCGACAACGTTGAAGATAAAAATAATATATTCTGTTTAGAAATTTAATCCAAGCCTAAACCATAGTAAAATCATATGGTAGTCCGCAGAAATTTAAGAAAAATCAAGCGTGTAATTTACCTTTCCAAATTACCCAATGGTTCTTCCAATATAGAAACTATAACAGCCATCGCGACTTCGCGGGTCAGCGCAGCCTTCAATTCCCACAGATATTCAATCTGTAACGCCACATCCTCGGATGCAGAGTCAACTGGCATCGTAAGGAACACCAAAATCTTCACTGCCATTTAAAGCAGCTCAATGTGAGTGTACCTTTATTTCAGTCGGAGATCACTGTGGGAATTGGGTTCAAGAATGTATAAGAATGCACCTGCGCTAATTACCAAATTCTTATCGCTTTGGTAATGCTCGATAATTGGAACAAGATCGCGTGACACCGTATTCCATCTGCATGTCTGCTTGAAAACATCCCTCCGCTGCGGATCATCCCTCCGCAGAAACCTCTGCAGATCCTTCAAATTATCTGCGGAAATCGCCATGAAGGAGATGATCATACAAGATTAGGACCCCAAACACAACTAAAATAACTTCTACTTATGCAGTCTCCAGCCATACCTAGACAGTATTCGGTCTTCGTGTAGCCTTTCACATTCCCATTGTCGTCCTCATCCGCTATTCCGAGACCGGAGCAGATGCTGCTTAGACCTTCCGTATTCATGTCCCTTCCCACCGGGGAGCTTCGGTTAGGGTTTGTGGAAACGGGCGCTGCGTCTATCTGGACGAGAGAGGCAGAGTGTGGGAGAATCGAGGGAGGTCGAAAAATAGTCGGAATTATCGACTATATTTTCCCGCCAGGAGAATCTAATTTACAATAATTTCCCGCTTTTTTTAATTATTATAATATAAGTGGCATATATGTTGAAATTTACAAAGAGGAGATTCAAATAAATGAGTTTAGTTGGCCTAAATTTTTTAATTGATTGTCTACCACTCTCAAATTAACTAGAGATTGGTTTGAAATATTTTTTTAATTATAAAAATTATGAGAAATATATGAGAAAATGCCAGTCTGGTGTTTTATGTAAATATATGAGAAATTTGTGATATGAATGTAAATGTTAGTATGGTGTTTTATGTATGTAAAATCCTAAAAAAACTCTCTTATTTAAATGATATATAAATATATAAAATATGGGTGATATATATATATATATGTAAATACCAACGAAAAAAAACTCCTAGCTTCTACCATAAGTTTAGGAGGTCTGTATGGAAAAGAAATTGATGGTATGCATCACGTTGAATTTAAATTTGTCATATTATGCATGCAAAAAAATAAATAAAATAGCATACATGTACTTATCTCGTGTGCGAGAACTCGGGTATTTCTGGGTTCTTTATCTTTATTTATCGAAATTAGCTGTTGTATTGAGAATGATAGAGGGTTTTCCCTGCATTAGAAATGTCAATAAAGAAAGTCAAAAGTTTGTCCTCATCTCTCTCCTCATGCATGATATGATTCCTCTATTTATATAAGATATATATTTTAGTCATTCTAAAATAAATATTTGCTCGTGTTTTTAATGAAGGTGTTATACATTATTATCTATTTTAGCTCTTGTTTTAATATGAGAGTTACATGTCTTTATGATACACATTTATATTTATAATCGATTTTTTCTATCTTTTTGTTATCTATTTTTCATGTGAACTATTATATTGTGACGAAATTTGTGGGGACAGTTTTTTTCTTACATATTTAGTTTCTCGATTTTTTTACACCATGATAATGACTGTTACAATAAGGATAACATAATTTTTAAATCAAAATATCTGATTAGATGAATCACTGATGATGCTCTTTGTTTATGTGTTATCTGTGTTATGTTTAGCATCTTTTGTGTTATCTCACTGATTCTGAAATTTTTTTCTCTAAATCGATTTTTTAAATCGGTGTTGTGTTGAAGTATTTGTTTGCATTGATTTAGTTACATATTTAGTTTTTTTCTCATATAGATAGTCGTTTATCTCCATCCTTCAGCAACCAAAATCGGTGTCATCAAATTTTGTCAATCCCTGATACTTTCACTTCGTCTCCGGCCATCGCTTTCCTCAGACATGAACCTTGGCATTGATGTCAGTTGTTGTGAAAAAATGATGGTTATTAAGCAAAAAATTAAAACGATAAATTTGCAAAAGGAAAAACATGACACACATATTGGGTTCGGCAAAATGTCTGCATCCACAGAGTTGCAGAGGATTTTATTGCTTTGTGGATTGCATCGTCGATCACGTCGACTTACAAGAAATAGTCTCTCACTTCTTCTCTCTCCACCCGAGATCCACACGAAAAAAGAAGACAAAAGGGAAAATAAAGCTGTTATGTTTCTTTTCCCTTTACCGATAAGCCAAACTCATGCATTGTGAAAAACCGCAAAGAAGCTTTTTGGTGAACGGTTGCTTTTTCGAACCCAAATCCAGTTTCTTCTGTACCCTTTTTAAGGGTGGTGGGACACTCTATGGCAAAAGAAAGAAGCAGGGTTCTTCATTAGAAGGAGAGTGGTGGGATTCCAAAAATAGGCGAAACGTTTAATGGAAGGAACTTAATGAAGCAATTAAGTTTAAATACATTCCAATACTGTAGAAATAAATCACCCAATTAAAGATGTAGTTGATCGAGCTCCACAATACTCGATAATTCTCTCACTTTGAGACTGAGATACTAGCTGCATTATTCACCAGCTGCTCAATCATTTTCCCAATACGTGATATCCTTCATCTATGCAACTCAACCCCTGTCTTCATGCTAAAAAACCAACTAAAGTTGAGCACAACTTCAGTTTCTTAATAGCAACACATTTAGTCAACATATCAGCGTCAAAATAATAATGTATCTTCAAGTTATTTCCTGAGAAACCCAAGTAAGCTTTTGAAGAGCCTCTTAGGTATCTCAAGGTTCATTTCATTGTTTCTCAATGTTCATTTCCTAGGCTACTCATGTTTATGCTAACAACTCCTACCGCACGAGCAATATCCCGTCTCTGTTGAAAGCTATTTACAATAAATCTCGTCTTGTACCTCTCACCACCATCATGCTCAGTTTTCACCCGGTACACTCACTTGTTATGCAGTTTCTTCTTCCTTGGTGGAAGTTTTGTGAGCTCTCATGTCTAATTTTCTATCATATAATCTATCACTTCTTTCATGGTCAGCTTCCACTTGCTTGAATTTTTATTTTGTAAGGTTTCCTCATAACTTTGTGGTTCTCCACCATCTTTCAGCAGAATGTAGTTCAAAGTTGGTGAGTAAAGCTGAGGAGAATGTTATTCCCGACTGACATGTCAACTATAGCTGTAGGGGTTGATGGCTTTAAAGCTAATTGTGGAACAATAGGAATGGATGCCCCAAACCCACTTTCTTCATCACTTCAATCTGTGTCTTGCATTGTGACTTATGGTAAATCATCAAATCTTATGAACTCAAATTCCTGTGGAGCTTATTTAGAAACTATATTAGATTTGTCCTTAAACATAATTCGATCTTGGTCATCCAAAAAATGATAACCAGATGCCTCGTCTTCATAGCCAATAAAATAACATTTATTTAACTTAGTCTTGAGCTTGCTACGAGTCTCGGAATTAATAAGAACATATGAAAGGCATCCAAAAGTATTAAGGTAAGAAAATTTGACATCTTTCATACTCAGATACTTCAAACCGTCTCAGACAATTTACAGTCTAATGGAACGGATGACCCCTTGTTGATCATGTAAACTGTAGTGTTGACCACTTTTGACCAAAAAGTTTGTGATAGTATGGCGTGCAATCTCATGCTTCTAGCCCGCTCATTAATTGTCTTGTTCATGCGCTCTACAACTTCATTATGTTGTGGTGTCCCTGTGACGATATTCTTATTTCTGATGCCCTGAGCTGCACGGTACTTCTTGAACCCACTATCAATGTACTCACCACCCATTGCAGATCTCAAACATTTCGGTTTCAAGTCTGTCCCTGTCTCAACTATGACCCTTCAAACTCTGAACACATTAAATAAATCTGATTTATGCTTCAAGAAGCACACCTATACATTTCTGTTGTAGTCATCAATGAACGCGACATAGTAACGAGAGCCTCAGAGAGATACCGTTGGGAAATGTCCCCACACATTTGTATGTACAAGTTACGGTTTTCTTGCATTTAATGCTCTACTACTTTTTAAAAAATTTGGTCTTCTTTTGTTTCCTCATAATACAACTCTCATACATACAAAAATCAACTGACTTCAGCTATGGTAGCTTGCCTCTGGACTGAAGTTCTTTCAAGCCCCTCTGACTCACGTGGTCAAGTCTGCAATGTCACAAATTTGTTGCGCTCTCTGTAGTAGTAGTATCAATACTGTTAATTAAACCAGTAGTCATATATAATGTATTAGTTTTCTTATCTCGATCTAACATCAGTGGCCTTTTTGTAACCTTCCATGAGCTATTTGAGAACACTACTGAATGACTACTCTCATTGAGCTGCTAAAAAAAATGAGATTTTTATTCAACTTAGAAATGTGTTTGACTATTTGCAAAGTCCATTTACTATTTTTAGGGAGTTTAATGTCAACATCTCCCATCCCCACCACATCAAATGTTCTCCATTTGCCATATATATCTTCCCAAAGTCACATGCAACATAATTTCATGTCAACTTCTTGTGGGAAGATATATGGAAAGAAGCATCTGAATCAAGTATTCAGTCATTAATAGAGCATTAAACTGGCAATAATAGTGCATAATGCACTTCTTCAGTTACAACATTAGCACCGAAGTTCCCTGTTTGCTTGGGATTTTTGCAGTTTTTCTGTATGTGTATAGATTTACCACAATTCTAATTGATTACTTGCTGAATAGACTTTGACTTATCCTTGTCTCAATGTTTTAATTTTGATCTTTCTCTGTTTGAGTTTCTATCCTATGACCTCTCTATGAAATTAACATTCAATGCCTAAATCGAACATGTGGTCTCATCATAATTATTCATGTGCAGCTCCTTAGCAAAAATCAAATCACAAATATCATCCTAATATTAGATTTATCTGCAAAATTGCTAACGATCATCCTTATGACTTTTAAGCTATTTGACAATGAAGGCAACAATATCAGCGCATGTATCTTATCATCAAATTCAATTTTCACTGACAATAATTGACTTGTGATAGTATTAAAATAATTCGAATGTTATGCAATAGTTGCATCATCTACCATTTTCAAATAGAATAATTGTTTCATCAGACACATCTTGTTATTCGCTAATGGCTTTTCAAGTATACCTGATAAAGCTGCTATAAGATTTGCAGTCGTCTTATCCTTGATAAAACTTGTGTTACACGGATCTCGACAGAGTTAATCGAATAACCCCCGGAGCTCATCGATCTAACAAATTTCACTCAATCTCATTCATATTTTTCGATTGCTTTTCTTAATAGCGAAAGATAAAGTTTTTTTCTCATAAAGGTAGTCATATATTTACATCATCCATTAATTAAAATCAGCGTCATCAAATTTTTCGATCCTTGATACCTTCATTTCGTCTTTGACCGTCGCTTTCCTCAGACCTGAACGTTGGCTCTTATACAAATTGTTGTGAAAAAATAGTGATGATAAAGTAAAAAATTTGAACGAGAAATTCACAAACAGAAAAAACTGAACACAGATTTACGTGGTTTGACAAATTACTTACGTCCACAAACTTGCAGATGATTTTATTTTTTTAAGGATTACACCGTCGATCATGTCGACTTACAAGAAAGAGTCTATAACTTCCTCTCTCTCAACCCGAGATGCACACAGAGGAAGAAGAAAAAGGGAAAAACAAAGCTGCTATGTTTTTTTTCCCTTTACTTGTAAACCAAACTCATGCACAGTCCGTAAAGAAGCTTTTTGGAGAGCGATTGCTTTTTCGAACCAAAATCCAACTTCCTCTGCACCCTTTTTAATGGTGGTAGGACCCCTATGACAAAAAAAAAAAAGAAATGTGATTCTTCATTAAGAAGGAGAGCGGCGAGATCCCAAAACAGGCGAAACTTTTAATGGAAAGAACTTAATGAAACAATTAAGTTTAAATAATTTCCAATAATGCAGAAATAAACTGCCTAATTCAAGATGTAGTGGATCAGACTCCACAATACTCAACATCTTCGATATTATTTGTTATCCACACCAAAGAAAAATAAATTAAAAGAATTCCAAAACCAAAATAACAAACCTCTCTTTTTTTCTCTTGGCACTGCTCTTCCCCATTTAGAATTCCAACGCGTGCAAACCTCGCAACTTCTTTACCTCATTTCCTCTCCACTCGCTGGCCTTACATGCGGCCTTCACCCGACTGACAATCCCAGTCTACTACCCAAGATCACCAAATCCTAATCTCGAATCATTTATTGCTCTGGCCGTATGACCTCAATATGTACTCCTTTCTTACTCTCACTGCTCGGTTTACAGAGTTGCCAATGAAAATGTGTGCATATATATAATTTTTTAAAATATTATCGTATTTGTTAGACGTATTTGATTATTAGTTGTAAAATGAAAAATAATCGTATATTTCCCAGAAATGAAAAAATAAAATGGCTCCCCAAGTTTGGGAAAACACCAGCACGTGATTCAGAACTGCTGTCAATTATCGCACAAAAGAACCGCATATATATTTATATGCGGCAAACGATCCACCGTACATGTGGTACTCGAATCTAGTGGCATTTTCGTAGATATTCTATAAATTGATGGCATATTATAATTGCAAAACCCTTCTAAATTTCCGCGTCTTGGTCGGGAGATGGCGTTGTCTCCATGGCGATGTAATCGAAGTAATGGAGCTTCCTTTAAAAGACCACAGCAGACTTCTACCGCGAGATCGCCAATCAGCAAGGGGAGAGAGAGAAGACGAAGCCGGAGCACCCGCCGGCGATTCATAAGTTTGCTCGATCTATCTCACACTCTCTCACTCCTGCGGCGTTCTGGCGATGGATCAGGCAATGGCGATTCGATCGGTGGGCGGTTCGTCTGTTTTGAGCGTTAGCTCGGCTTTTGGTGGCCGGAAGATCGGCTTCGATGAGTTCGGAGCTGGAAAGGTGCCGGTAAAGGTTTATCCGGGTAGGAATCGGAGCAGGAGTGGTTGGTCATCGAATATTGTTTCTGTGGTCAATAGGTTGTCTCCGTCTGAGTCGAGTGTTCTTCCCGTTTCACCGGAAGATGCGCCGAAGGTGTTTTTCTATATATTTTTTTTGTGTTTTTGAAGCCAAGATATGTTTGGTTGCGATCATCTTGTTGTTTTCTTCAATGTTTGAACACTTGTATTTGCTTTGAGATCAGCACAATGCAATGCTCGATTGATGTTATATATAGCTATATACATTACCCAACATGAAGTTCCTTGTTTTGCTGAAGTAATTTACATATATTTTGACCTATTCTGTAGAAATCGGACTGTTTTTTCTAATAAATTCTCAGATTAAAGTTTCACCCTTGAAATTAAATGCATTTGATGGAAAGTTTTTGTATAATTGTTTTAATCGCTTTATTGATTATGAGTTTTTTTTTTGAAAATCCCTATTGCTCTCTATGGCAATATTGTTTTAGGTGGAAGAGGTGGTTAAAAAACTAGAAACCGTTCAAAAAATTGGGGAAGTATCATCAGGAGTGTGGTCTAAGCCAAATGTCAGGAGGAAAACAAAAATAGTTTGCACCATTGGCCCATCAACAGACACTATGGAGATGATATGGAAGCTAGCTGAGACTGGCATGAATGTTGCTCGCCTTAATATGTCTCACGGAGACCATGCATCTCACCAGAAAGTAATCGATCTGGTCAAGGAGTACAATGCACAGAACCGAGAAAATGTGATCGCCATTATGCTTGATACAAAGGTGAAATTTTATTGGGGCATATACATACATACCCCCTAATTCATATGTATTTATTTTTTCCAACACCTAAACTTTACTTTTTTACTTTTGTACCTCCCAAATCTTTAATATCACATAAAAAATACCACAAATTTTAGCTTTTAAGAAGTGAAATGCACTTTTTCTTGCATAGTTAAGTTTAGGTGTTAGATATGTAAATAAAAAAGAATCGAGTGGTATGTTTGTAAATCTTCTAATTTATATTCTCATGTGTTTGCATCTTTTCCAGTGTTTCTGAATTAAGGTTTCTCTTATAAACACATCTCAGCATTTTGAGTCAGCAAAAAAGTCATGGGCATCAATCTTTCTAATCAAAGTGACTTTTTTTATCAGTTTTTGGAACATAAAATAAGCTTGCCTTCCTAACATTTTACAGTTTGTTGTGGCACAATAAAATTGCCAACAAATTCTCTAGCCCAAATGGATTGCAACAAGTGGAATGTAGTCCACACAATAGGCCTCCTTTTTCCAATTTGCTGGGCCTTTGTTCAAGGGAATGTCTGCTTTTGCTAGAGGATTGAGCTTGGCGGCAGCAAGTATGTGTGGTAGTCAATAGTCCGGATATTTATCGGACAATATAAAAGAAAACCACTCAACTTAACTTGCCTTAGTTTAATTCATACGCGGTGCACCTAACTTTATCGTACATGAAATAATTCATATTGATGAAACATCTTTACTCTACGTTAGGGATAGTGTTAGATAATAGGCTTCTCATTCAATTGGGATGAACTTGGACTTGTGTACAATCAGTTATATTTTATTTTTTCTGCTTTCTACAACTTATGTTATCACCCCTTATTTTTTTATTTATTTTTTTGGGATATCCTAGGGCCCGGAAGTTAGAAGTGGTGATTTGCCCCAGCCAATTTATTTGCAAAGTGGCCAGGAGTTCACTTTTACGATAAAAAGAGGAGTTGGCAATGAAAGCTGCGTTAGTGTCAACTACGATGACTTTGTTAATGATGTAGAGGCAGGTGACATGCTTCTAGTGGATGGTATGCAAAAACCTTTAGTTGTTAGGTGTTCCTTTGCTTTAAAACTAAAAGGGGGATATAATTTTACATGTGATTTATCTGTGAGTTTATATTTGAACTTTGAGTGCATTGATGTCATCTATTAATGCTATCGGGTGCAAAATTCAATATATATTATTCTTTTTTGAGATTGCTTCTATTGCTTTCCTAGGATTGCTTCATAAACTATTAAATTTTATCAAAGATTAAAAATTGTTGGCTTTATATTTATTTATTTTTATTTTATTATTATTGTTTTTTGCATCTATCTTTTGATTATTCAATACTTTTACATGGACTGCTCAGACACAAAATTCGTTCACTCGGTCAACTCATGAGTTAAAAAATGGAATATTAAATGTAAATTAATTTAGGTCACTCAGTGCAAACTCAGAGCCATAGGATGATTGTACTAATGCTACCCAATAACTCATCCACTCCAGTATAGATAGTTCCCTCTCTTAAAATGATTTTTTAATTATGATTGTAATGAATGCTTTATAAGATTACACAAGGAAAATACATGTCATGTTCTTTTATCTTCAAGCGGAACTACTGTTATACGGCTTCATGGCTGGATAAGATTTTCACCACTCAGCTTTATAATGGAGGCTGAGTCAGGAATTTCTTACCATGAAATACAAAAATCAGGATCAAAGTATGAAAATTTTTAAAAATATCAACATAACTCACCTAGCTGAGTGGTTCTTAGACATGAACATTTAGGTAGATTAGACCGATTGACTTTAACTTCTTGGGAAGGAGGAAGTTTAGCTATGCGAATGTGGTAGATTGGATCCATGCAGCGTTAAGCAAAGTAGAAATTAACCATTCAAGTCGTTATAAGTTAAGAAAGAAATACTTTTTTATCTACCTTTTGTTTGGAAGATGTAAAGGTTCTTTTTCAACACTAGGAAATGATGAAGGATCAGGCTCCTAAACCAAGCAATCTCGTTCAAATCAAGGAATTCAGCCATGAATGCTATTAGAGAAAGAGTCTTTCGAATTTTAGGTTGGGATGATGTGGAGATGGCTCAAAATGCTATTGATGGAAGTGGGAATCCCATTTTTGCTACTGAAGTGATTGAGGTTAAAACAAATCTCTTCAAGGAAAGAGTTGGCGGGGCGGGTTAACTCGTTCACTGGAGGATGAAGCTCCGTGGACAAATATTTTTTGATTATCTTGAACTCTAAAAAGAGAACTGGGAAGGAATTTTCTTATTTGTATTGTTTAAATGTTGAGATGGAACATATATTTCTTTTTTATTGTGGAGTGCCTTGTCTCTAGCTGCATTGAGTCTCTTTTCAATGCAGTTCCATGAATGTAGCTTGCCCAACTGGCTCTCTCCTTACTAAACATGTAAGCATTATTAACAATATCTGTCTTTCCTTTTTCCTTTTTGCATTTTTCTTTGCTTTAGATTGCTACAAAGCAGGTTTATTGTTTGGATAGATAGAGATTTGAATTTTGCTTAAGGATTTGACTGTACAGTGGGAGAAATCCTAGATGGAAGAATTAATTCACATAAGATGTCGTAGAAACTTGGTAATTTTTGGCCTTGTTAAAGTTTGTATGATCTCTCAATTTTGGATTAGCAAAGTTGCAGTTTTGCTGAACAGCTCACAATTATAGATGTTTCATCACTTTGTGTCCAACTTTAGCTTTTGCTATTATATGTTAAGCTGTCTAAAAAATAGTTTTCTTCAGGGGGAATGATGTCTTTTCTGGTTAAATCTAAAACTGAAGATTCTGTCAAATGTGAAGTTTTTGATGGTGGTGAACTAAAGTCCAGGCGACATCTTAATGTTCGTGGTAAAAGTGCAACTCTACCATCCATTACAGGTATGTTTGTAAATGAATGCAACTCAAATGAAAAATACAGGCTTTCACAAAGGCTAATGAGAATGTTGATACTGCATATGGATATAAGCTGACATGCTTTTTTCCTTCCCTTTTGCATAATGTTTTGCCTATATTACTGCCTCATGCTGCTTGCAAATTTTTTTGTAGACAAGGACTGGGACGACATCAAGTTCGGAGTTGACAACCAAATAGATTACTATGCGGTTTCCTTTGTCAAAGATGCAAAAGTTGTGCATGAGTTGAAGGATTATCTGCAAAGTAATTGTTTGCAGGCCGTGTTTTGTAATTTTTTTTTGGAGCAATTAAATAGTGCTGTTTATTAAACGTCGACCATCTGATGATCCAATTAGGAGAGTAGATGTTTTAGATTCGATTTGTGTTAAGAAAGGCAGAGGTAGACCTAGGAAGACTTGGGCTTATTGTATTAAAAATAATCTTAATTTACTATAACTAAATGAAAATATGACACTAAATAGGACGCAATGGAGAAAAAGGATTCATGTAGCCGACCCCACGTAGTGTGATTAAGGCTTTGTTGTTGTTGTTGTTGTAATTAAATAGTGCTGTTTCTGACATAATTCTGGTTTTTTATATTTTTTATTTTAGTTTAATTTTTTCTTTCTTTTGATAGAATGCGGAGCTGATATTCATGTAATTGTAAAAATTGAAAGTGCTGATTCAATCCCAAATCTTCATTCTATACTCTCTGCATCTGATGGGGTAAGACTTAGTCAACTGATTTTTTATTTTATCAAAGTTTCTTCCAGTTTTTACACGGATGAGAAGTTCTATTCACTTAGTTATGCATTTTTTAATGATAAAACTAATTGTTTATTTACCCTGTTATGTATTTAAATCACATTTTTGTAGGCAATGGTTGCAAGAGGAGATCTCGGAGCTGAACTTCCAATTGAGGAGGTTCCACTTTTGCAGGTACCAATTGTTTCCAGGCATGCTAATTTCAAAAGAAATATGGTAGAAAATATAAAATTTCTGGTCTCATTGCTGGTCCACAACAAATTTATTGATTCTGCATGAGCTTTTGCTAGTTTCTTTCCCTTTAAGAGAGTCTCTGTAGGTGCTCTAATGAAAAATGATTTTCTTTTCAGAGTGTCTTTCAGAAAACAAATACTGTTCCTTTTTAAAATCATGTGTTGAACGTTAAATTGTGCTAACATTAAACTTTGTGAATAATTATAAGCTGAAGAAGGCATGTCTTCTAAGTGGTCATGGAAGGTCGTTGAAACTTTTTTGGGTTGATCTCTTAATGTTTCTGTTTGGATTGTTTAAGATGATATTTTCTTTGAATTTGGTTTAAAATCATGATTACTTGGTGCTATTGGCCAGATAGTTGACCATTAGTTTGCTACATAGGTTAGTCGCCATCTGACCCTACATAGTTTTTAAAGCAAAATTATCTATCAGTTTGATAGACATGCAATATTGATTGCTATTTTTGGTGTCAAATTAAGAGGTTAGTCTTTTGAACATTTTTGTGTTAGTTATAGCCATTTAGAAGGTATTGGGGTGTAATGGAATTATGAGAAGAGAATGGAGGTGTTGGAGACGAGGGCTAAGGATATGAATTTTTTTTGTGGTTTGTGGTGACAAATGGATAAAGAATCGACCAACAAATAAAGAATTGAGCAATAAAAAAACTTATAAGGTGGAACTTATGAGGCATCTGGTTTAGGTTGCTACTCTTATTATTTCCCCAACGACCAATTACGCGACATCTTTTATAACCTAAATCATCACCTTCTTGCTGTACACAGATTGTTGGGGATTATGAAAGGCATGGTCAGCCTTGCAATGCCATTATTTTAATATCCTTTCGTCTCTCTAATTGGTCCGCGCTGCCTAAAGATGTAAGTGAGCCAAGCTGGCCCGAGCTCGACTCTTTAATGTCGGTGCCTTCTTCGGCGAGCTGTCACAACGCTTATTCTTCTCTTTAAGGATGTGATTGAGCCGAGTTGAGTATGTCATGGATTGAACTTGCCTTGGTCGAATCACAAGTTGTTCATATTCAATTCAAGCTTGAGCCTAGCTTTCACACATATGTTCATAATTAGATTGCTTAAATTCTTTAATGTTCATGATAGGAATCCCAAAAACAATTCCTAGTGTTACCTGGGCTTAGGATCAATTAGAAACTAAGTCACAACACAAAATAACATGATCACACTAATTTGAGAAAACTGGAACAAATAATTATTTAAAAAGCACAATTATAGCAACAAAAATGCAAACGAGACTTTTAAGTGGAAATACCCGAGAACGTAAAAAAATCACGAAACCACACTATCAGAAATTTAACTATGAAATTCAGAAATTGTTACAGAGAAATTACACCGATTTTCTCTCTACACATAAAAAAAACTTACAGAACTCGCTCCACAATCTTTCTGCTCCAATTCGACGTAAAAATCATGCCGAATTAATGAAATCCACATTGTCAACACTTCTTACCTTCATCAGGATGCTCATCAAAGAACGCGAAAGGAAGATACACCAAAACTTTGCTTACACTGCTTGAAATCAGGATTAAAAAAAAGTCCCCATGTCAGTGGAGAAAAAGTTGGAGAAAAAGAGTATTCATGTAGCCGACCCCATGTAGTGGGATTAAGGCTTTGTTGTTGTTGTTGTTGTTGTTGTCGAGCGCTCTTGGCGCATAGGCGCTCTAGCTTGGCGCCTATGTGCCAATCTTATTGTGTCTAGGCACATAGGCTCCCAAATGGGGTGCATAGGTGCCCTCTTTTCTATTGCGACCACACCAAGTGGGCGCATGTGTCGGCCTTACTGTCAGCCTCGTCTACAGGAAATGTTGACGCATATGCGCCGAGTACTGTGTATCGAGTTCACACACATAACAATCTCCCACTTAGAGATGATAACACCGAGCATCGGTCCTCTGTACTCGCGCCATCATCTGAATCGCCTTCATAGTTACGTGCTGTGCTGGGGCTCACCCCCGGTCTCATCCTTCATGAAACTCAATTGAAGTCAAACATAGTTTCAGTTTATCAATAGTCACCACTTTCATTAACATATCGACAAAATTTTGAGCAAGTATCTTCTCGAGGATCAACTGCCCATTTTCAAGAATACCTCAACTGACTTTGTTCCGTTCTCACATAAAAAAGAACAATTTTAGCAAGATTAATTGCACTCATATTGTCATTATAGAGTTTTTCAATCCCTTGTTCTTTGCCCAATTCTGTCATGAATCTGTGTAGCCATATCATCTCCTTGATAGCTTCAGTGATGACAATATATTCGCCTCCGTAGTTGAAAGTGCAACAATTTTCTGCAACCTGGAGACTCAACTCACCGCTTTGTTCCCTAATGTAAAAACATACCTGTCGCACTTTTCCTATTGTCCACATCCCTGTCAGATATGAATCTACAAATCTCTGTAGATCATCGTTGCACTTCCATAACAAAGTGTCTTGTTGACTGCTCCCCTCAATACTCGAGAATTCACTTTACCGCCTTCCAATGATGTCTGCCTGGATTGCCCACTTATCTGCTGACCACTCTCACTGTATATGTAATAACTGGTTTAGTATAAATCTTCACATAACTTCCAACTTTTGAAGTATATAAAGTTCTCCATATGTGATCGCTCTGCTTCAAAGTTAGGCGATAGCTCCTTAGATAGCTTGAAATCTGCCAAAGGAGTGTTAACTGATTTCGTCTCACTCATATTGAACCTCTGTAGGATCTTCTCAGCATAATCTGCCTAAGACAATTTAGTATTGTTGCACATCTGTCTCTGTTGATTCTCATCCTGATGATCTTCCTGGTTGGACCTAAATAATTATCTCGAACTCAATTGATAACTCTTTCTTCACATGTCTGATTTTCTCCACTGCAATCAACATGTCATCCACATATAAGAAAAACAAGATACAACAATTACCAAAGTGTTTGATGAAACAACAATGGTTTGTCTGAAACTTAAAGTACTCATTGTCTGACATGAACCCCTCAACTCTCCTGTGCCACTTTCTTGGGGTATGGTTCAAGATATAAACAAATCTTCTTTGTCTGGAACCTTATAACCTATTGGTTGCACCATGTATAGTTCCTTCTCTAGATCTGCATGTAAGAAAGCTGTTTTTTACATCTATTTGCTCCAAGTTGTAGATCTTTTTTTGCTACCAAACTCGAAATAACAAGATGTTTTATCAACTTTATTCTGTTGTTAACTGCTTAAAATCATTGATTGAATACGTAAGTGTTGACCTCATTTTCGGGTGAGGTCTTCACTTCTCTCCTTAGAACTTAGTGTCTAGCTTTAGACTTCCTTTGTTTGACCTTCCTAGAGGACTAGTACCGGATCCACACCATTTAGAAAATTTGAGCTACCTCGTCACTCCTTTGAGTCTCGCATGGGCGGTCCTGAATTCTCGACATTTTGCTGAGTTGGTTAGAACTGACATTTGAGATTCGAGTTGAGTTCCTACATCAATAGGAGCAGCCTTTAGGAAAACCTCTTGCTATTCGAATTCTCGCTAATTCTGCATGCTTGCATTTTCACACACATCGCACCACACACGATTTTGACGTAAATTGACTTGCCCGTCGGTGAACTCGCCCGGATGACGAAATGGACCGCACGGATGTGTCCGTGACGTCAAATTTAGCTAGGAGAGAGGCCCCTATGCTTTCGAGCGCGAGCAATTAACAAAAAAATCGATGCACATTTTTTTAATTAGCGGGGCGCGGGCCCGAGCTCAACCCAGGTTTAACTCGTGTTCGACTCAGGTTTGATTCGGGCTGGACATGGGCTGAACACGAGCTCAATTATTTCAAATTTCAAAATTTGAATTTCAAATCAACCATTTAATTTCACAATAATTAAATTTAATTGAAGAATATGATTTGCCAAATAAAACTTCTCTACGCATGTAAACTATTCAATTCTTTGCCGAATCACCTATAACGGATATTTTGAAAGTTCAGCTATACAATTGGCGAGGTCCTTCGAATTGGTATTATTTGACCCCTGCTCCTCCCTAGTTCGACTCCCGCTCCTTCGCGCTGAAAGAAATTCGGCCCCCGCTCCTCCCCAACTCGACTCCCGCTCCTTCACGCAGAAAGAAATTTGCGTCTCCTGCTCGCCTCACCCGCTCCTCCTCCGCTCGATCTCGCTACCCCTCTGCGATCCGAGCTCCTCTCGGTAACCTATTTCCTTCTCGCGCACGACCGAGATACCACTCAACTCCTTCCTTCTCGCGCACGACCGAGAGCCTTGCCTGCTCTCCTTTCAGTGAACCAAAACCCTCAATCGCGCCGTCCCCTGCTCCTACCTCTCTGCGCCGCGACCAAACTACTTGACCCATCTTTGCTCTTCCTCGCGGCAAACCGAAGCGCTCGACTCCACGCTGAGCCGAAGACCCCCGCTGGACGCCTTCTCCTCGCTGTGCTGAAGAGCCCCACTCGCCTCAGCCTCCCTGCATCGAAGCCCTCTGCCTCCTTTCTTCTTCGCTCGTTCAGGAAGGTAACCCTCTAAACGCTAGGTGGCCGTTTGATAGCTGGTTTTGGGGAGGATTTAATTCAAATCTCATTGTGATATCTCTGCGATTGTTAAATGATTACCTTAAATCATAGATTTCCAAAATCAAAGAAGGGTTTATTGGATTTGAGTTTTGTTCAGTTTTTTTACTCATCCTCCATTGTCATTTGTGTCATTATCTCCTGCCTTTCCCTTAACTTAGGCTTTCTCATCAGGGTATTTACATACATACCATGCATTTTTTATTATATCTAATATATAAGCTGCAGCTCTCTATTGCTTTCTGCTCTGTTATTTCTTTGTTTTTTTATACACGTCATTTTTTCTAAGCATAAAAAAAAAAGTAAAATCTATTTTGGCGGTACAATATTTTATTGAACTCTATGGGCTTAAAAGGAGCTGTTTGGAAAGC